TTCAGGCTTCTGGGAAACCAACGATGAGAGAGGGCTCTAAGAAAAATGGAATTCATAGGGAAATGCCAATATTAGTTAGAAACAGATACTGGGGGCCTCTTTGTTTTGTTAATACAGGAGGTGACAATAGAGACAGCAGTGACTGGCCAGGTGACAAGAGGTGGCAATAACACAAAGAGAGGCACTAATGCAAATCTGTAGGCTGTAGGCTGAACATAATGATGTGACTGCCTTGTGCTTTTCAAAATGCAAGTCTGGGCAGGATGACCCCTGGTTTCTCAAATGCTTTTTTATAAAACGGCAGTATCATAGCCTCAAGCAGAGGTGAGTTACAGCCTTCTTGGTTCATTGGCTTTAACTCCAAAGTGGCCACTTGACTGTTTTCTTGCTTGCTATCTTCTTAGCAATACAAAAATGCAATACTGAAGCCAGGCACAGTGACTCAAACCTGTAATCCTTGTACTTGAGAAACTGAAGTAGGGATTGCCGTGAGTTCAAAGCCAGTCTGGGCTACATAGCAAGACCTCATTCTCAAAGCACACACACACACACACACACACACACACACACACACACACGCACGCACGCACGCACACACACACACACACAGAGTCATAACACTTGTGGTTTCCAGAAGACCTTGGATAAAGTATTATAGCCACAGGAACTTGAAATAATTCCCCAACTGCTAGAAGTTCCCAAATTTGGAAATCAACAATATTAGAGTTTTCAGCAGTGCTAAACTATCTGCTTTTAAGGTTGGTATCATGGTCTTCATCCAGGACTAGCTCCCTCTGGATTAAGCATCTATCATTTCCAAATACTTCTGGAGTCCTCCTGAGAAATGATTTGCCCTGGAGAAGAATTAATTAAGGACATAGAGCAACTTTTCTTTGGAAAGACAGCTAAATAAGGAAAAGCATGGAAAAAAAATAGTTGTGTTAGTATTTCAAGCCTAGTATCCCAAAGGTATAGCCAGGTGCACATGTTTGCTCTCTGGATGGTATTTTTGTCCACTGTCTTTTTCAGCCTGAGCACTAACACTGTTCATAATCATGGCCTTTGTGTCTTTGTATTGAACAAATTTTGTTATCCAAGGCCTTCAATTACATTAACAATCTACCTGTTAGCTTTAGTTGCTGACCACTAAACAGATGAGCAAGGGTCCTATCTGTTACATTCCCCACAACCTACATGGGACCTCAATAAACATTTAGTTGGCTAATGTTGCTCAATAAACATTTAATGTATTAATGAATAAGTGAATGAGTAATCAGAACCAGAATGTTCTGGTTTCTACATGTCATTAGGACATCTATCATTTAGTTGCTTTATTAGATCAGGTCTTAACGCATTGCTCAACCAGGTTTCTTGTCATTGACTCTGTGATTATTTTAACAACCATCAAAAACTTTTAGGTTGTCATCGTATACAGAAGAATGCACCATCTACAGAAGAATGTGTGTCAATATGTACACCATGATCAAAGGGGAGTTCTAAGTAGGGCAATTTTTCCTCGGGTTATTAGCCTGTGCTGATTCTCTAATATGCAAAGTTTAGCTCATTACACAAGTTACTCTAATTAGGAATGGATTTGAACAGTGCATTGATTTTTTTTGCTTTATTTCAGCAAACTTCAAAAGACAAAGAGGGATATCCGATGGCTTCAAGGAGCAACAGGCGAATGGTTTGAAGAAATTCAAAGAAAGAAGTTTTGCAATGAAACAGATGTTAGCCAGATGTTAAAACCACCACTTACATACAGGCTACGGAAGGGGATGGCAAAAAATGGTGAGGAAAAAAATTAATTTTGCTTTAAATTATCTTTTCCCTGTCTTCTGGTATAGTATTGTAGACAATGAATCCATGCATCTGCAATTAAACCAATTTATGGCTCAGGGCCATTATAAGGGACTTTAACATTTTGTACTATATGATATGCTAGACAGTTTAGGGGGATAACAAAATGTCCAATGCAACTCACTGGGAATGTGTCAGATTATTTGTTCTTGATAGACTTCAATATGTTTTTCATTTTTAAATGGGTATAATGTTTACTCATAGGATAAAATAAGATTATATGTGTCAAGAATTGGCCTAAGGGCCAAGGATACAGTTCCACAAGTAAAACACTTATCTCACAAGTGTGAAGACCTGAATTCAAGTCCCCAGAACCTACATAAATCTGGGCACGGTAAACAAGCTACAGCCTCTCTCTCCTGTGAAAGACAGGGGACAGAGATAGGAGAATTCTCAGAGGCTTCTAGACTGGCTGCCCTGCCACACTGCATTGTAACAAAGTATCAAGAGAAGGTAGAAGAGTGAAGACTGACAAATTAAGGTTTCCCCAGCCTCCACATCCATGCTTAGGCACAAGCATGCTGTGCACAAACACTCACACCTAAACTCACACGTATCAACACACTAAAAACTTAAAAGTAAAAAGAATTAACCTTGGCTGATTGTGATGGCTTGTGCCTTAATCCCAGCACTCAAGAAGCTGAGGCAGGAGGATTGTCACGAGTTCCAGGCCAGTCTGAGCTACAGAATGAAGCCTTGTCCCTCCCCCTCCCAAAAAAAATGAAAAAGAAAGAAAGGCAGAGAATTAGCCAGGAGCATAGTAAGCACTTACCTAAATGGAACCATGATGAAGAAGAAGAAGGCAGAGAGAAGACTGGGGGTTTCACAGCAGAAAGGGGAAAGCTGGTAGAAGAGCTGTCATCTCTCTGGAGTCTCAGTAGTCTCCATAGTGAGTGGCAGTAAGCGCCTGCTGTGGACACTTGGTTGTGACTGCCAGCTGTCACTTAGCTTTACCCAATTTTCTTAAGCTATTAATGAGGGTAGTGAAACCTGTTTCCACAGGACACCCATGAGCATGGCAAACTATCAGAAACAGTAAACTATAAACTAACCATGCTACTGAACCAGTCTCGTGGACTGCTTTTACGTATGTCATCAACATGAGTAACACTTTGAAACAGGTGATAGTATTTCTGAATGTACAAAAGGTTAAAATCTCCAACTCTCATAACAAAACAATCAATCCAAAAGAACAATACAAATTTTCGTTTGTGTGTGCGGTAAGTATGGCAGTGGTGCCCATGGTGCTGGGGGTCAAACCCAGGGCTTCATGCATGCTGAGCAAGAGTTCCGCCACTTACCTATGTCCCCAGCCCCAAACTCAGATTCTTAGATTGAGCCCATGTGCATGCCATGGTGCCTTACCTTGAACTCCAATATAAAGTTAGTGTGCACAAAAAGAATTATGGTGTTATGGTCTTTGTATATGTTGATGAGCCTTAAATTTAAAATTGAAGGCTCATATATAAAGCTATATGTTATTATACATATTATTACATGCATACACATAAACCAAATATATGTACATAAACACACACACACACACACACACACACACACACACACCACATACCACACCAGAATAGATTTTGGAAGAAAAAAAAAAAACACTCTAAATGGTTTCATTTCCCTTTTATTTACTTTCTTTGGCATCAAAGAGTTACATGAAAACTCTATGCACCATTTTAAAGAACTGATATTTTCTAAAAGAAACTTGGATCAGCAAGACATGGAATGAATGGGTCCCCTGACTTGCTAGCTTGGATGTTGGACATCCAAGTAGAAGATATAATGAGAAAGACCCACAGAAAGTTCCTGGCATCAGGCAAGGAACCCTGTTCAAAACTGTGGCCTGTGACACATACTGAGAACACCTTGCTTGAGTGTGAAGTTTTTCTCCACCCAGCGAACCACTGGAGCTCGGGAGCCTGAGAAACAGCTCTGAAACCACTTGGTTCCTGAGGTCATGTAGGGATGCTAGCTGCTTCTAGACTGTAGAAGGAGAGGGAAACAAAAGCCACACCTTCCTTCTTTTGCATAGATTTATCTGATTGCCAGGCATAGCAGCAGATGCCTATAACCACAGGAGACCAGAGGATTGCCAGTTTGAGATCAACCTGGCCTCCCTGGCCAGACAGAGCTATATAACCATCTCAAATTAAAATTGTCTCAAATTAAAAATAACCAAAAAGCACATTGATCTGAAATTTTGAAAGAAAATGGTATCATGCAGTGCAATCTGGCCTAAAATTTTATGTGTACCTTGAACTTTTAGCCACCTACCTCCCAAGAGCAGGGTTTATAAGTAGGTTCCACTTATCAGTGATGGGTATAGATGCCAGGGCACTCCACAACCAAGCCACCAGCCCTGCCTGCAGGTATTTTATCAGTGTAAAATCTTTGCTTCCCCCCCCCCAGATCCGATGGAATTACAAACATCAAGATCTAAAAACCTAATCAACCAAAAACCGTCTGTTTCTCCCCGAATGAGCTTCCGGTCATCCTTTGCTTCACTGTTCTCCTTCAGAAGATCTGGGAAGGAGACACTTAAGCCTCAGAGAGCAAAAGGGTGAGTTTTAACTCAGATCGTGTGACAGCTTTCTTGGTTAGCTGGTATTGAGGCCCATAGCCTGTTTGGTGGCCAGAGTGTTGAACGTCTGTTCTTAGAGCTAAAGTCCGGGTAGTAACGAAGGAGTAAACAGTGTCTAGCTCACATTAGCATACTTGTACGGGACAGTGATACTCATCTGAAAGCTACTTTTTAAGCAACTGCTGACATCCTGGTGGTGAAGCTGGGGAAGCATGGGTTAAATGCTGGGAAAGAGTTATTAATCTGCTGAGCCTAGAACAGGTTCTGTGCCTTGGCTGGAAAGATCAGTTTAAATCACTGCTTTTCGGTGACCAGGTGTTTCTGTCCGGAAGTAGAGCTGACAGGTAAAGACCCAAAGAAAATAAGTATCAGGTGGGGGGTAAAAAAAAAAAAAAAACGTAGAAGAAAATCAACTCGGAAACAGAAAGGACAATTAATTTCGCTTCCAGAAATGCTGATGTCACTGTTCTTAAGTGGAACAGTGGCCGGAATTTCAGTCTAAAGCGAGGGAGGGAGGGGCCACTTTTGGAGCTGTGCAGGCAGGAGCGCAGACAGTTCCCGGTTGGACGCTGCATAAATCAGTCCCCCTCCACTCGAGTGTCAGTCTTCATGTTGTTTCATGACAAACAAGAAGGGCTCTGCTGCGTAGCTGAGCTGACTGCAGAGTATTTTCCGCACGTCTTCCTGGTTGCAATGCTTCCCACCCTCTTAAGGTGTTGGCTTGGCACGTGATGTGTTCCCTGCGCTGGCGAACCATTAAGATTGAGTTGCAGCGCTAAATCAAAGGTGTTGGAGGTCACTGTCCCTGAAGAACAAGCCGCAGCAGGCAGCTGCTGGGGCGTGTGGGGAAGCTCTGGGACCTCGCGGAGCACCGGGATTTTTTACTTTCGGCTTTTCCCTGATAAAATAATGAAGAGCTGAGAAAAATGTAGATCTGTGGGACTGAACCTACCTGAGACACATGCCAAGAATACTCTTCATCGGTGAGTTGCTTAAAAGAAAAAAAAAAAAAAAAAAAAAAACCCACACTGGAGACAACTGTTGTTGGTGAGATTTAAAACTGAAAAATATTGCGTGGCTTGTTGAAACCATTTCCTTCAAGGAGAAAAAAGTTGATTGCCAGCATGTGGAGCGGGTGGGGGGGGGGGTCCGAGGTTCTCGAGGTTTTAACTGTGATTTGTATCTTAGTCAACTGGATTTTTTAAGGGAGAGTTTTATAAAGCCGAACGGCATGGCTTAGGAAACCAGAGAAAGTGGAGGAAATGCGTGTACTCTATGGGCAGGTTTGTTGGTTTAGGTTTTGGTTTTTGTTTTTTTGTTTTTTTTTCAAGCTCATGTTACAGATTGCAGCAAAAGTGGATCAAGGGAGATAAAAGATCTAAAGATCTAGGACCTTCATTCTTGGTATGTGTTTTGGCCAGAGGGCAAAGAGAAAAGAGAAAACTTGTAGGCTCTGTTCAGCAGATGTCCTTGTCAGATACCAAAATGACTCCTAGCCAGGCTGCCTGGGACTGCAAATGCAGCCTGGAGACAGGCAACAAATGTCATTACTTCAGTGCTTCTCAGACATGTCATCTGTAAATACATCTTTCTTCCTTTAATAAAAATTCATTTTTCATTATTAATGTGTGTATGAGAAAGAGAGAAGGACAGAGAGGAGGTATGTATGTACTATAGCATGCATGTGGGAGAGGTCAGCGGACAACTTCTGGAGTTGGTTCTGTCCTACTGTGTGGGTTGGGGATCAACCTCTGAAATCAGCCTTGGTAGCAAGCACCTTTACCCATCAAGACATCTCACCAACTTTAATGATGGAATATTCAATGCTTATCTTAACATTATATCATTAATAGTGATATGTCTTTTATTTATTTGTTGCTTTTTCTTTCTTTTGAGATAAGGATATATATTGTAGCCTAGGCTGTCCTGGAACTCACATAGCCCAGGCTAGCCTCAAGCTCACACTGTTATTCCTGTCTCTACCTTGACTGATATTTATTCTGCCAGGATAGAATACAATGAAGGATAACCACTAGTATTTATTTCTACAAGGTCTCACAGGATCGTGCAGAAGATACACTCTTTTTATTTTAAAATTTGAACTTGACTTCAGTGTTTGGATAGAAATCCTAAACTCGAGGGAACAAATGTCTTTATGGTGGGAGTGGGGGAGTACCATGAGGCAGCTAATATAAATTCATGGTTTCTGTAATGCCAGGGAGCATTTAACTTTAACAGAAACAACCTTCAAAATACTTTTTGACCCAGGAGCTGTTTCTTGCCTGAGCTCTGGGGAGGGGCTGGTGGGATCTGGGAAGCCCACTTACCCAGGACCTTCACACTTCTAATTTCTGAAGCCATCAAGGGCTTGACTGCTTGATGCCCTGGAGAGCAAGTCAGTAAAACTATTTAGAGGATATTTTTCACATTAATAAATTATTTCAGTTCCTTTTAAGGTGTATAATTTATACTTACTTTTCAGTTTATTTTTGTCTTTTTCTTTTATCAAATCATATTTATTTGAATATGATTGTCAGGTACAATTGAATGTCAGGTACAAGAGCCAATGTCAAAGTTATTAATATAGCTATAAGATATGAATGAATGATGCAGAGGCATTTTTTGAATGAATGATGTAGAGGCATTTTCATCTCTGGCAGATAATCCAGAGTTAGAGGACCTTGGTTTGACTTTCCAGAGTGGTGTTCAGAGGGAAAGTAACCAAGAAAAAAAAAAAAAAGCAAAACACCAAACTTTATATAAAACTCTTGATAATCAGATGAATAATTCCTCCTCCTTTTTTTCCTCTTCTTCCTCTTCCTTTTCTTCCTCCTCCTCCTCCTCATCTTCTACATTTGTTTTTTGAAACATGATTTCTCTCTATAGTCCAGGAAATCATTGTGTAAACCAGACTGGCCTCAAACACACAGACATCCACCTGCCTCTCAAGTACTGAGATTAAAGACAATGCACCACCACACAAGGATTATTTTCTTCTTTTAACCTTTGGCTATTTGTTTTGTTTTGTTCTGTTTCTGACTCAAAGTTTGTTGTGGAGCTCGGCTAGTCTCAAATTTACAATGTAGCCAAAGCTGGCCTTGAACTCACAACCCTTCAGTATCAGCCTCCTGGATTCTACAGTTATAAATGTGTGCCTCCATGCTCAGCTCAATGCTTTGATGTCCATTGAGAAATGACCCTGCAAAGTAGACAACCTTTCTCAGAAAAAAAATGGGAAGGGGGCTTCACAATTCATGAAGGTGTCCTTGTACACTTTAAGGCTCAACCAATAAAAGCAGGGTAGTTCCCCCTCCCTAGCCAGTTAATTCTCAACTCTGATCCAAAACAATATGATGAGAAGCCTTGAGAGAGAAAATCTAGATTCATGTAACTTTTATTATAGCATATTTTAGTTGTCCCAGTTTGTTATTCATTGGTGACATCTAGCTCCTCCTGTGCCTAGCACATGAACATGAACTAAGCTTTTTTTTTTTTTTTTTTTTTTTTTTTGCAAAAGCAAGAGGGTTTATTGAACGAATGTGCATTCTGGTGCCAGCAATATCGGGAAAGCTGCACACCCCACCATGGGGTACAAGCTCCTTATGTAGGAAAAAAACGCAGATCAGCATACAGGCAAGGGGCACAAAGTGATTGATTACAAAGTATGATCTCATTGAACTAAGCTTTAACATAGGTATTTACATACAAGAAAAACAAGGTCAGTAAAGGACTTTGTACTATCTGTGATTTCTAATAGAATATATCTCTTACACAGGATAAGAGAAACGACAGTATGAGTGGATTTGTGAGTGGTTGTGGTGGTGTATATGTGTGTGTTGTCTTTCCTTGTTTTGCTTTGTTGAGACAGAGCTGCACAAGGTAGTCCAGGCTGGCCTTGAACTCTGTGTGGGCCAGCCTGACCTGGAATCCATGGTGATCTTCCTACCTGAGCCTCCTGAATGTTGAAATTCCAGACAGGAGCAACCAGGTCTTGCAGTATGTGGAATCTTGAAATTTTGGTTTATTACTTTCAATGGACAAAAGAGAGAGAGAGAGAGAGAGAGAGAGAGAGAGAGAGAGAGAGAAATGGGAACACAATGATTCCATAAATTATAAAAAGCCAAAGTGATTTCTGCTTCAGACATATCCTCTCCTTCCAAAACTCATACTGCCCAGCTTCCATTATGACTTAAATGCTACTTGCAAATTATTGAACTGCCCCAAACCCCAGGAAGCAAAAAAAAAAAATTGTGTTTATCTTTTATTTATGCTATCCAGTATATTCAAGACAGTCTAATGTAGTACATGCTGCTCTCCCAATGTCTTCCCATAGGGTGTTTCTTGGATGATGTGATGAGGTAGTTGGTGGACATGACCTGTGGTGCTCTCTGTTGTCCCACAAGTTCCCTCCATAGAGTTTAGTAAGTGTCTGTGGTGTACAGCCTGGGCAGTCCAGCCTTCAGAGTAGCATCCTCATCTATTCCTTTCTTGATCCAGATTCCCAGTTACAGAAATGACTCCCTTCTTGCCATGATGAGGCAATGTGTTCCAGCATGCTCCACCAGGAAGTCACTCCCCCAGGGAGCCACCAAACCTCCGTCCACCCACCATCTGAAAGCCACAGCCATATGTTCTTCTTGGTTATGGCAATTTTAGGAATATAGATGATTTTTTTTCCATTGCTCTTTCCCTTGTGGTAGTCCCAAAATAAAAACACAAAGGAACTAGTTTGCAAAGACCATGAATAATGTATACATTAAAGCCTCATTTCCCTTGAGGATTATCATAGCGCACGATACACCCGGTGACTATCCCCAAGATGGTTACAAATGGACTGATAACTGTGACTTTGGGGTGAGAATGCATGCCCACTCTCCTATTCCTTAGGGATGCTTTTATTCCCTTCAGATGCAAGGAGCCTTGGTGGATCTGCCTAGCCACTTCTCAGACATGCCCAAATTTGCCTGATCCATAGGGCGTACACAGCTTGGGCCTTTCGGCTGCAAACTCCCTTACGTAAGCAGAAAGGTCATATACTATTTTGGAAGGTTTAAAGGCACATCACATTTTCCCTAAATTTATATTCTCTCTTTGCCTCCCACTCCCCCTTTCTTCTTTCCCCTCCCCAGTTTCTAGCTGGAAAGTCTGAGCTGAAATATAGAGGACTCAAAGACCCTTAGCAAAAGGACTCAGGGTGAGAGAGATCCTTCTCAGGCTGTTTTCCCTCTGTGGTCCCTGGTGTGGTGCAGACCGATGAGCAGCAGGGAGAAGCAAGATACGAGGATAGTCTGGGTTTCTTTAATCCTGGGAAGCCAGTGCCTTCCTATTGATCTGGTTACCTTTATTAAGTCTAAGTCACATATACAGTTTTCCATAGAGATGACTGGGTCCTAGCATTGGAATCTGATTTAGGAGGCACAACGTGGGGGGACAGGGAACTTTATTTTCATTTCTCCGGGGTAATCTGGAGCCCTGCAGCATAGCTCATTCAGACTAAGGTAATGGCTGTAACAATTCCTGGCTCAGGTGATAACAGCCAGGGTGATAGCTTTATTTTCCTGTAGTGTCAGGCTTTTAGCAAAGTCCTACCCAGGATCAGACTGCCCATTTAGTTGGAGGTAAAGTGTGAACGCAAAGCCAAGTCCCTTCCCAGAGAACTCTGTAATCTAGTGAGGACCCCTGATTGTCACCTCAGTTCTGTTTTGTTCTTTCTTTTTGTTTTTGTTTGCTTATTTTTCAAAACAGGGTTTCTCTGTGTAGTCCTGACTGTCCTGGAACTTGCTCTGTAGACCAGGCTGGTATTGAACTCAAAAGATCCACCTGCCTTTGCCTCGAGTGCTGGGATTAAAGGAGGGCACCACCAAATCTGTTCTTATTTTGGCAATTCCAGTAAATGACAAGTCAAGGGTCTTGAGGAAGTTGTGTCCTTTGGAATTCACACAGGGATCCCATGTGTCCCAGCTATAACCTGGGTAACAACAGC